CGGCGCCGCCGCCGGCATCCATGCCTTCGCCCGCCTGGGGCGAGCTGTAGCCGCCGCCGCCGCCGCCGCCGGCCGAGACGAGGATATCCTTTGGATGGCCTGCCTTGCCAACACAGGTGACCTTGAGGCTGCCGCCGTTGCCGCCGCCCGAGCTGGAGCCAAAGAAGGGGCGGTAGTCATTGTTCGCAGCAAATTCTTGCAGAGTGGGAACCTCAGGAGATATCTCGCCACACACCGTGCCATTACTCGTTCGTTCGTTGCAGCAGCAGACGTAGCCGGCGCTGTCGTAGTCTGTCGCGGCGACGGCTGAGCCGATGGGCCCGTATGTCGGGCACGTATCATCGTAACCGCTGCAGGTGTTGCTGCTGCAGAAGTCGCCGCAGTCGCCTGAGGGCTGCGGCGATTGCGAGCCCGGCACGCACACGTTGTTGCACGATGACGTCAGTATGCCTTCCTCGCCGCACGTGTAGTTGATAAACTTGGCGAAGGCGGTGTAACCCAGATTGAGGATACTGTCATTGAACTTTTTCTCGTCCGTCCAGTAATCACCTGGCACGATGTCCGCATCTGTCATGCGCAACAGATCGATGGCAAACTCCCCCAACTGTTCCGGTGCCTCCGCCTGGCTGTGGAGGAACTCGCAAGACGCAAATATCTTAGGGAAGCGGCAGCGACCGAGGAGGCGACGGTGAAGTGGGCTGCCGGCATGCCGGAGATGGCGACGCAGGCCTGCGCGAGGGAGAAGGGTGGAGGCAGGCGGGAAGGCGGGCGGGCGGAGGGGGGAAGACGATCTGGAGGGGGGGAAGGGGGGGGGTGGGGGGAGGGAGGGGCGAGGGCGCCGCGGCCGGCACCTTCTCCGGACACGGCCCGCCGCCCTTCATGAGAGCTGAGAGCCCGTCCTCGATGCGGCGAGCCCGATGAGCGCCGCGTAGGGCCTTCACGCAGTGAGACATGGCCGGGTCGAACGCCGGGTCGACTGGAGCGGCGATGACGGCGGTCGGGTCGATGTTGAGGACGGGCCGAGACGTGACAGTGACAGCGCGAACGCCCTGTGCCGCCGGGGAGCAGGTGCGTCATTCAAGTGCTTGAATGGGAGGCACCCACGGGGCGGTAACGCAGCGGCGCACCGCACTCTCGTCCGCGATGTCCGTGTAGCACTCGGTGCAGCGCGGGGTTGCCCGAGCATTCGAGGGATGGTTGACGACGACGATGAAGAAGAAGGTGACGTTGTTGATGATGATGTTGACGAGGGTGGGGATGAGGATGGTGACAAGGATGGTGATGGTGATGGTGATGAGGATGGGGGCGAGGTTGCTGGTGAAGACGGTGACGATGATGGTGATGCTGACGACGGCGCGAGGACTTATATCATGCTGATGCTTTGCGGTGATGGTGATGAAGGGCAGGGGGCGAGGCACCTCTCCGCTCGCGCGCCGAGTAGATCGTTCTCTCTCATCGAGTCGACGCACGCGAGCATTCCGAGGATGAACAATATGCGAGTGGCGAAAGAGATGCTCGACTCGCCGCATATGCTCATGCGATGCAAGCTGTGCTCGAGGCCGGCGAGGTAGCCGACGGTGGAGGCCGCCCACGTACGCTTGCCCAAGGTCCCGCCGCCGACGGTTTTCGCATCGCTCCGGGGTGTGTATTGGGGTATGATTCCGGGCGGCGATGGGCTGTGTCTTGGCGGTGCTGCGTCTGTTGGGGACTAGCTTGGGATGGCTGGCTGGCGGGCCTCGAGTTGACGGACGGACACCTGCGAGGGCAGACAGGGTGCGATTCCCACGGAATCCGGCTGCCGGCGGCGAGCGCGAGGGCCGCACCTTGAGAACGCGATGTGACGAGCAAAGGTTGGGAGCCGACGGAGCAAAGGTTGGGAGCGAGCAAAGGTTGGAAAGGTGAAACCCAGTAACGGATTTTGGCCCATGCCGCGAGAACAAGGGACCGGCAGGCGGCGCCGGCGGCGGCGTCGCAGGACAAGGCAGAGGAGAGCGACGCGACAGAGGAAGAAGCGACAAGAGAGAGAAAGAACGACGAGAGTGGGACGACCGCGAGGTGGCATGAAGGTCGCTGCGAGAATTGGTGAGAAACTGCGAAGAGAGATAGGAAGGGGTAGACGCCCAAGGGTGGGTGACGGCTAGCGCATCACAACTCGCGCTCGAGAGGAGGCGTGTTCGATGGTGCTCCGCTGTACTCGACCGTCTTTCGCTGTGTTCGGCTGTGTTCGGCCGTATGCTGTATTCGTCGCCCCTCGTAGCCCCTCGTACTCACGCGGTGCTGCGAATACACTGCACAGTACCGTACTCCTCATGTTGGCGGTACTCAGCGCTGTAGGCGAGGGTGGTGCTGCACTCGAACCGCGGCGGGGCTCTTCTCTGGCTCTTCTCAAGCTGCGGCGGGGCGGCGAGGCGCTCGAGATAAGCACAGCTCGAGGCAGTAAAATGTATTCTCTCTCTCCGTCTCTCTCTCACTCAAAATCTCTCTCTCTCTCTCAAAATCTCTCTCTCTCTCTCTCTCTCTCTCTCTCTCTCTCTCTCTCTCTCTCTCTCTCTCTCTCTCTCTCTCTCTCTCTCTCTCTCTCTCTCTCTCTCTCTCTCTCTCAAAATCTCTCAAAATCTCTCTCTCAGAAGCGGAGCACACACGAAGTCCCGGCACAACAAAAATATCCCCTTTGCAGCCAAGCCTACGACTTCTAATTCTTTTTCCGCTAGAGACGCTGTATTCGCTGTCCGACAAAAAGGGACACGCCATGGGAATCTGTGGCCGCCGATGCCGCCGATGCCGCCGATGCCGCCGATGCCGCCGATGCCGCCGATGCCGCCGATGCCGCCGATGCCGCCGATGCTGCCGATGCCGCCGATGCCGCCGATGCCGCCGCCGCCGAACCAACTGCTCGCAAGCGAGAGCGGGAGGGGCAAGAGGAGGTACTCGTGGACCTACAGCTCTTGAGCCAACTCGTCGAGGAGGGCGACGCGCGCCTTCTATGGGCGTCCAGTGCAGCACCTAGGGGGAGAGAGGGGGTTTGCCCTGGTAGCGAGGTGGCGAGGTCGCGCACTGCAAACCCAGTGTGAGGAGTGGGGGAGCTGGGACAGGGCATGTACGCCTCTGATCTGTCATGGTCTAGTGGCCGATAGGATCCTCCCTTAGGCAACGATGGCGGGTCGGGAGAGGCCCGACTTCATAGCCCGCCACTTACTGCCAGCCTCTCTCACTGCCCAGGGTCTCACCACGATGCCGCCCGAGTAGGGGGATAAGGTGTGTAGAGTGCGGCTCTGTATGGAACCTCTCTCTGTGTGGATCCCACCTGAGCCCACTCGCGGTGCGAAGGCTCCTAATGCGGCAACTGAACCCGCAAGGGTAGGGCATTCAGGGAGAGGTTATGTTGGACAATATGTTGTGTTGTGGCGTACTGCTGTGCAGCTGGCGCAGCGAGCCCTGCCACGGCTCGTCGTCGAGACTGGTCGGTGGGTGGTGCCTGTAACAGCTGAGGCAGGGAGACTGCCCGTGAGTAGCGCAGCCGCGCGGTCGCCCGAGGGGTTGGGATGGCTAAGTGGAGAGACAGGTACGACCGTACCTGGGTATGGCGTAGGCTGGTGGCTAGGGTTAGCTGGGCGCGCACGGCGAGTCCAGTCACATTGCCGCCCCGCAACAGCGATATGAGTGGTCTCTCAGTGCGCGCTCTGCGTCCCTAGGACGTAGCGTGGCGTTGGTCTGAAGCAATAAAATGGTACTATATGAGGCGGTGAAGCGCAGTAGCCGTCATGAATTTTGCAAGCCGGCTTGCAAAGCCGTTCGAAGCGCCTGATTCGAGCGAGTGGAGGCAGGTTCGAGACCCGGTGGGGGGGTTTGGGGGGGTCGCCCGCCCATCGGACCATCAAGGGATCCATCAAATCGATCGAATCTGGTCGACATCGGTCGACATCTGGCGCGGCTGGTGCCGGCCGCTGCGTCAGAATTTTTTGTGTGCTGGGCACAGGGATGATTGTGCCGGGCCGCCCCCGCGAGAGAAACTCGTCAGATCGGCGGCTGTCAGAGGCTGGCACGCAGTTGCAAAAGCAGGTAAGGTGTGGTGCTGAGGGGTGGCCCGTCTACCGTCTACCGGTAGACTGGGGTAGACTGGGGTAGACGGTAGACCATTTGGTAGACGAGTCTACCACGAGTCTACCGCAGTCTACCGGTAGACCGTGATGAACCTACGACTGCAGTCTACCGGTAGACTTGGTAGACCGCGGTAGACTCGTCTACCCCTTTTTCAGCCGCCGAACGGTAGACCGCCGCCGCCGGACGGTAGACCGCCTCGGCCGTTTGAATATGCAGCCTCCAGTTCTCCACTCTGGCGCCACTTTGGCAGACGAGCGCCGGCAGATGCCCTCGCGGCCTGCCGGCGAACGTCCGCCACTTTGGCACGAAAAACGATGAGGGGGGGGGTCCAAAGGCCACAGTCACTCGGACAGGCCACAGTCACCGCGGATCGACCAGATTGCGCGCGACATTGGCCTTGTTCGAGAACAAACACCAGCGGAAACTCTTTTTACGGGAAGTAAAATTCCGTTTTATAAATTCTTTTTCCACACAACACAAGAAAGAATCATCGGCGCGGGCTCCCTCGGCTACGGGACCGGCCCCAGCTTCGGCTGAGGGCTAACAAGCTGCCAAGCCCAAATCACTGTGAGAGTCGTGATTTCTTGTTGGTTTCCTAAAATCTCTCTCACAACACTGGGCACGGGAGTTTGGAGCACTTGGAGTGCAGTGTAAAATTCTTTTTTCACACAATGAGCTTGCCTGTGGCGGGGGTGGGCGGGTGCACGGAGCTAAGTGCCTCGCCACTCTCGCAGGAGTCGCTTAGGCGGCTCCCGTGGTGTACCTGTGTTAGTGCCAGTGCGCGCCAGTCCCGTGCCCGGTGTTGTGCGAGGGAGCTTTGTTGTAAAATTCTTTTTTCAGTTGTGTGAATCGTGCGTGTGCGAGACAGCTCGTAAAATTCTTTTTTCATGGCGTCACGGGTGAAAGCGCCGTCTCACTGAGGTGCCATGCTCTTCGTGGCACTCGCTGCGCTCACGCCCTCCGCTTCTGCGGCGTCGGTTCCCATCGACGATGGCGCTACGGGCCTGGCTGTCGACAAAGAAGCGGTGAGAACGGCTGCGCGCGCTTTGGTCGCCGCCTTCGAGAGCTGCCTCGGTGCGGATCCATCGGCCACCGGCGTGGTGTTGGACGTGGGCGCGAACAATGGCCGGTGGAGTTACGAGCTGATGACCTCGCTGTCTGCGAGCGTGCGGAGGCGGACGCGCCTGCTCATGTTTGAGCCACAACCCCGTTTTGTCAGCGTCCTGGCAGCCCTCACGAAACAGTTCGAAAACGTCCTGCACTTGCCAGTGGCCGCGTGGACGAATGCGACCAACCTGACGTTCCACTTAGCCAAGGTCAATAGCGAGACGGCATCCCTCTCGAAACGGAATGCCCGACGCTACGGGAACTCGGAGGCAATCCAGGTTCACTCGGTCGACCTCGCTCGGATCATGCGGGACGAGCTGACGGGCAAGGCGTGTGCGCTGCTCAAGCTGGATGTGGAGGGCGCAGAGTACCGTCTGATTCCGCACCTGCTCGTCACCGGCGCGCTCTGCCTCCCCACCCACCTGTTCGTCGAGTGGCATCTCAATTCTGTGCCGGAGCCAGAGCGCCTTGCCGCACTCGCCTTGCGGCTCTCGCTGCCCGCCACACTCGACACGTGCGCCACGCCGCCACGGGTGCACGTCAACGACGACTACGCGCTGAACAACCTCTACACCCGCGTGCCCGGCCTCGACGCGCTGGCCACCCTCCACGAAGGCTCACACTCCAACCTGACGGAAGAGGGCAAGCTGACCGTCCGCAAGTGGGGGGCCACGCATCGCCGCGCCGCGCTACCCGACCGCCGAAGGTGACGTCCGCGGGAGGGCGGGGAGGAGGACGGTGTGCGCTAACTTTTTGGCGGCGCCGGAAATCTGAACCGTCCGTGTGGTGTTCTCTCAAGCGCCAGAGCGCGGGTGCCGGTTTACGGTTAACCCTCACGTCAACAAAAATATTACTAGGAGGGTGTGGAGGGGCTGCGTCCTGCGAGTTGAGGAAATCGCGACCCACTTCTCGCCACAGATGACCCCGCGCACCTCGCCGCTAAATAGATGGCACAGCCTACTGTGTGCGACTGCCACAGCTGTGACAGCGATGGGCTCGCCCTCACTGGCCCTCAGTCTCACTTGTGCTGCGGCTTGTGTGAGCGACACTGCTCGACGACTTATCTCGGCACACTCTCTCCGACTGTGAGATGGGTGTGAGACAACATCGTGGGCGTTTGAGCGGTATTTGAGGAGCACCGCGACTCTGAAGTTCGGCCGGGTGGTCTGCAGACCCCCCCCCCCCCCCCCGGAGCAGCAGAGGCTCCGTGGGTGCGCGCAAAGTCGACGCTGAGAGTCGCACTCGTCAAGCCATCGCAGCACCACGCGGTCCGATGTAGGTGGGGTCGCTGCTCGTCGCTGCCTGGGGCCTCACCTTTGAGACAGCAGACACTTTTGTTTGTGGCTGCCGGCGCCTCGGCGCCAGCCGACGCCGTGTTCGGCGGCAGGTTCGCGACGGGCGAGGCGCCCCGCCCGACGACCTCCGCCTCCGAGGCGGACGAGGGCGACGGCGTCGGCGGCGATGGCGGGACCGGCGTCGACTCTTCGACCTGTTCGATGACAAGCCGGACCCCGCCACCCCCATGGAGGACCTTTGAGTTCCTCCCCAGTCTCACCCCACCTTACCTCTGCCCCCCCCTCCCCCCATCCCTCTGCCTCCCATAGGGCAGGATAGCACTAGCATATGCGCCTAGTGCCCACTGGGCCCTCAGATGTGACCCGCCCACTCGAGTGCGGCGCCCGGGTGCTAGTGCTTGAGAAGGCACCAACAACCGCGGCACGGCCCGTTTTGGATGTCTGCGGAAATTCTGATTTCTGCCTTAGCACACACAGTGAGTCACTCGGAGTCATTCGATGGCCAGAGTGCGATTGTGTGTGTGCGGGAGTTCTGGTTTGTCGGGAGGGAGGGGCAGGCTGCTCACCCACGTGCACCGGGCCAGTGCTTGCACTTTGAATGCCGTGGGGCTCCTGCCCGTGTCCGGGTGTGGAGATGCGAGCCGAGGGTCGCCCCCCCCTTGCCCCACCACTTTGTGTGTGTGGAGATATTTACCTTACCTTACACCTTACCTTACACTTTTGTTCCTCGCCGTGGGCGGGTTCGCTTCAAATGCCTTAATTGTTAATATGCGGCAAAATGGGGTGCATAATGAAGTTAGCATGTTGGATATTGCATGGGAGGCGTTCACACGCGAAAAATAAAGTGCGTCGCTAGCCTTGGACGTCCACGGCCGCGGGCCGATCGTCCTGCTCCGCGGCAGCTCCTTCTCTCCAAGACAGCAGCGGCTGCTCGAGCGCTCCCGCCGCCGCCCCTCTCCCCGCCGCCGCCCGTCTCTCCTCCTGCTCCCCACCGCGCAGCTGGCTCTGCAGGCCGCGAGGATCACTGCGTGATTTGCCTTGTGCAACTGCAGCGCCAGGGCTCGCCCTCGGCCGGTGCCGGCGCGGCGGTGTCGCGCTTGTCCAAGCTCGCAGAGGCGAGTTTGCAGAGGGGCAGGAGAGCGGCGGCGGCGGCGGCGCGGCGGCGACGGCGGCGGAAAACACCGCCGGCTGCGGGATGGCGCGGACAGCAGCACACGCGTAGCCGACTCCGAAGCAGAGCAGGGTGGCGGCCCAAGCGGCGGCATGCACGCGGGCGAGCGCCTGACGAGAATATAATAATAATATAATAATATAATAATAATAATAATATAATATGCGCCTGACGAGAATGAAAAAAGAAATAGCGAAAGGCGGGAGTGGACGCACGACTGATGAAGCAGCCCCCCCTGATACGTTCATAGTGGCTGCGCGCGGGCGAGCGAGAATGAAGAGTGAATGAACTACAACGAAGTAGTTTCATATCGGCTGCGCGCGGGCGAGCGGGAAGAGTGAATGCATGAATAACGAAGCAGCCTCATAGTGGCTGCGCGCGGGCGATCGCCTCCACCGACGCTGCGGAGCGGGCGAGGAGGGGATCAGCAAGCCTCTCGCCGTGCCAGGTGTCATCGCCCGCGTCGCCGCCCGCCGCGTGCGTCGCTGCGACGAGGTAGAGGGCGGCGCACGCGGCGGGGAGGGCGAGGAGCCAGTGGAAGGCGGCGTACGCCATGCCGACCTCCCTTCCGTAGCCCGTTGCGGAGAGGAAAGAGCCGAGCAGACCCGAGGCGGCCTTGAGCAGCAGCAGCGGAGGGAGGTACCACAGCAGCCGCGATCCAACAACCAGCAGCCTCGAGTCCTTTCCGAACCAACCAAGCATCGCTCCTCGCCCGGCGCCGCCAGCGTCGACAGCCTTCAGCCAGAGGGCGGCGGCGAGGGCGAGGGCGAGGGCGAGACAGAGGGCGGAGGAGAGCAGGTCATACGCCGCGCGGTGGCGCCCCTGGGCGAGGCACTGGGCCGCGACAGTGAGCGCGGACAGCTGCACCGCGACCCAAGGAGCCAGGCACGCCTGCAGCAGCGCGAACAGAAGCGACAGCGCGGCGACCGCGGCGGCGTCGCACCCCCCTCCCAATGCAATCAGCAGCAGCATCGGGGAAGAGCCGGCGCGGAGCAGCGCCAGCGCCGCCGCGCCTCCAAACCCACGGCATACGTCGATGAAGCGGTCGTAGGCGGCAAGTGGCAGCGGCAGCGGCGGCGAGGCGGCGGCGGGGGCGGCGGTAAAGGCGTTTGGGTGAGAGGCGACCAGGGCGACCAAGCTGGCGCAGTGCAGCGCGGCGGCGGAGAGGGCGGCGGCGGGTAGGCCTACAGGAGCCGACCATGCATTCATTGACTCTGAGCGAATCAGTCGGTCAGAGGAGGGCGGCGGCGGGTTAGCCGGCGGTTGTGATGGCGGCGGGTAGGAGGAGGGCGTAGAGAAGCGCGACGACGAGCGTCGCCACCGCAGCAGTGGACATCCGCTGCCAAGCACGCAGGTAGCCCAGCGCTGCCGCCTATGGAAAGTTCCGGGAAGGTTCCGCGACGGTTCCGAGACGTCGCAGCCGAGCAGCGCTGCGATGCATGAAGGAGGTGAGGCAGGGCGGAGGCAGAGAGGAGAGGGAGGTAGGACGCGGCGCCGTCGACCACTCCCACTTCCGGGGGCGAGGGCAGCGCACGCAGGAGCGCCGGGAAGGAGCAGTACACACCCGTCACCGGAGCAGTCAGGAGCGCAGCGAGGGCGGCGGTGGCGGCGGCGTGGGCCCTGCCGTCGAGAGGCCGTCGCTGGCCGGTGAGGCCTCCGCCGAGAGGACGGACGGCGAGATGCGCGACGACGGAGCTTGTGACGTGCGCGAGCGGCGCAGTGATCAGGCTTGCGGCGCAGTGGCTTGCGGCGAGCGCGGCGAGGGCGGTCGTGCCGAGGATCGACCCGACGGCTGCTAACTCGGCGAGGCGGGCAGCCTGAGCTGCTAACTCGACCGTGGCGAGCGGGAAGCTGTGCCGGAGGACCTTCTCCATGTACGGCGAGCTGGAGAGGCGGACAGGGAGGCCGTCGTCCCCGGGTCGGGTGGCCGCGTTGGGTAGCGACTTATAAAATGAACTCGGGGGCACGGGACGCGGCACAAACGGGGCACAAACGCCAGGCTACAAAGACGGGGAGGCACGTAGTGACGCAGGGGAGTCTAGGCGACGGCGGCGTCCTCCGACGCCGCGGCGAGCCTGAGCTCGGTCGCAATCTCTTCCGCCGCCGCGAGCTGCAGCGCGACTGACATGCGCTGGGCCTGCAGCGAAAGCCACGACCGCGTCGACCAGCTCGCCTCGTCCTCGTGCTGCCGCTTCGAGAGCTTGTTGCGCACCTTGTCCTTCATCTGGTAGAACAGCCGTTTGACCGCGTTGCACCACCCGCCGAAGGTTTCAAACAGGTACATCTGCACGTCGGTGTCCGAGCGCGAGAGGGCGTGCGCGTAGTCCGCCTTCTTGTACGCCACATAGCCGCCGCCGTCGCTCGGCCTGAAGTCGCCGTCCCCGACAGCGCCGCGCTGCTCGAGGCCGAAGACATCCGCGCTCGTGCCGGGCTCGGTGTTGCCGAGGCCGACGAAAGCGCCTCGCTGGCCGACGTCCTCCGGGTTGGAGGAGAGCGAGTCCTTGAACTTGACGTCGCCGATGAGGCGCGAGCGCGAGCGGCCGGCGCCCGCCACCGAGACGTCGGGCCGGTAGTCGTTAGAGTAGCCAAGGTGGTCCCGCGGCTCCACCTCGACGAGCATGCCCCACACGCTCCGCATGACCTTGGCCAGGGCGGCGAGGAGGCTGTTGTGGCGGCCGCAGTGCCCAAGGCGGCCGATGTTGCTGGCCGCGTCGCCCAACGGGTCCTGCACCTTGCCGCCGCGCGCCGAGCAGGTCGGCGCGCCCCGCGCGAGCGCCTCGTCAAGTGGTAGCCCGAGGCGCCGCTGGACGGCGATGCGCAGCGCCCACGTCGGGATACGAAAGTCGCGGCGCGAGGGGACGGCGTTGAGGAAGGCGCCCGCCTGGTACTGGCTGACGGCGATGAAGCGCACCGCCTCCCGCCTAGCCACGCCCGGTAGCTGCAACGCATTCCAAAAGCCGAGCCATGCTGCGTGATGAATGATCTGGGAGTAGCGACGCTGTGCGCTTTGTAGATGCTCACTGCCAGAATCGAAGCAGGCCAACGGGAGGAGTGTGTCGCGGTCGGGGAGGCCGTCGGGGTGAAATCGGAAGTGTGCGAGGCCCTCCTTGCAGTAGTCGAAGACCTGGCGGTCGTACTGCTCGTAGGTCCTCGCCACGTAGTCGTGGGAGCACCGACACCGCCCTGCTGCGCGCGATGGCGCCGAGTGACTGGGACAGCACACTACGTTCTCCTAAAGAGAATTTCCCATAGAGAATCGGGCCTAGTCGCTCCAGGAGAGGTCCTCACCAGAGAGGTCCTCACCAGAGAGGTCCTCACGCAAGGGTCCTCTCTCGAGGGTCCTCTCCTGTCCTCAAGCCGACCAGGTTCATTATACGCACTTCGGTCATGGCTGAAGCTGTCCATGACACATGTCCGATGCAGCATGTTGTACAAGGCATGGCATGCTGTACAAGGCTACAAGCGAGGCGGCAGTCGCCTTCACCAAAGGCAGCGGTCTAGTCGCGCCAGGCGAGGAGCACGTCGGCCAATGGCCCGTCGCCCCACAAGCTGAACCAGTCGCTCCAGTGCGGCCGGTACCCGGAATACCCGATGTCCCGCACCCACGACGCGCACTCGGCCGAAAGGCTCTCCTCTGCAGCGGTGCGTAGCTCCGAGCAGGCGTCTCGCAGCCGGCGACACGCGAGCCGCGACTCAGTGTGGGCGCCTCGCAGTACCGCGAGAGGCGGCGAGTCCCGGCTGCTTTCACCCAGCTCGAAATCGCTCAGATTGAGGATATGCAGCATGTGAAGCAGGAGCTCGTCTGGCAGCTCCTCGACCAGCCGGAAGTGGCCGTGCCGTCCGGCAGCATCAGCGGCCTCCTGCTGGTCAACCCACGCCTGAGTGGGCGTCAACCGAGAGGCGTGAGGCGGCGCTGGAGAGGCAATCGTAGCGGTGGTGCGAGGCTAGGGGTGGCGGCAGGGGCTCTCCCCGAGACCGGTCCACATCATGGTTTGGTCTATCAGCCGCGTCTCCGCACCTCGAGCGCGATCCTCTCGCGTAGGTACTCTTGGTACGCGACGTGGAGGGCGGCGCCGCTCGGCTCCGCGTTTAGCCCGACCGAGAAGCCCGCCCCGCCCTGCAGCATCGCTGGTTGCGCCTGAGCTACACCCCCTAGCTTTGCGGCCCGCTTCAATTCACCCGCGTTTAGTTTGGTTGTATGGGGTGTTGGGGGGAACCCGACGAAACGGGACCCGACGAGGCGAACGCGTTTCTTTCTCATGCCAGACGGTAGACGGTGGCACCTGAGCACTTGGAGCACTTGGAGTGCAGTTATCAGCCTCACATCCAGGGCCGGGGAGCTGAGAAGCGCAAAAGAAAGAAAGAAAACACACAAGCCAAGGGAGGGATGGGAGAACGGCACGCCGCCACCACACAGGGATTTTAAGGAGAGGAGAGTGTGATGCGCTAGCCGTCGCCCACCCTGGGGAGTCGGCCTCTTCGTATCTCTTTTCGCAGTCTCTCGCCGCTTCTCGCTGCAACCTTCATGCCACCTCGCGGCCGTCCCACTCTCGTCGTTCTCTCCCTTGTCACTTCCTCCTCTGTCGCGTCGTTCTCTTCTGCCTCGTCCTGCGAAGCCGCCGCATAGAGGCAACTAGAGGCAAGCCACGTCCGCAGCCCCGGCAACCTCACCCGGTGCAGTTATGTTGGTAACGCTGCTATCGCTACCTATTGTCGGCGGAAGCACGCGTGCAGCAGACCGGTTGGCCTCCCGCGGCTTCGAGCGGGCGTCACCCGCTCCTTTCGCGAGCGGGCCTCGAGACCTGATCGTTGTCTGCCACCGCACGCCGGTTAAGGTTGCGCAGGGCCGCTTCCGGCTCGACAACCTGCCGGACGGGCGTGTCGACCTGCTCGCGCGCTGCGCCTCCGCCGCCATCTTCACCAGCCACGGCGTGCGCCGCGAGACGCGCCTCTGGCTCGCGCTGCAAGACCAGTCTGTCTGCCTCTGCTTGGACGGCTCGACGGCACGCGGCATGCACCCCGACGAACGCACGTTGGCGGCCGCGATGAAGCGGACCCTCGCGGTCGAGCACGGCGCCACCAGCAGAGCAGACACCGCCAACGGGTGGTCGTACCATGCAGGAGGCCTCGAGCACAGGCTTCGCGAGCTTCGCCAGCAGCGGCCAGTCTCGAGAGGACCGCGGCCGATTTTGCAGTTGCACGAGGACGGCGAGGCGACGCTGCAGGCTCTGCTGGCAGCGGGTGGGGGCGGGCAGCCAGCTGCCTCGCCAGGCGCGGTCTTCGTCCTCGGAGACCAGCCCTTCGGCTTCACCTCGGGCGGGAGATCTGATGAATTGATTAATCAGGCGCGGTCCTCGTCCTCGGAGACCAGCTTGGCTTCACCTCGGGCGAGGAGGCACTGCTGGCCTCCGCCGGCGCACGGCGGGCGACCGTCTCCCCGCGAGGCTTGCTGACCAGCCACTGCATCGTCCTCGCCCACCACGCGCTGGACGAGGCCGAGGCGCGCGTGGGCTTGGCAGCCTCGCCAGTGGAATAGACGGGAGTATAGACCGTGTTGTTGCGTGGTCTTCAAGCCACAACAAGGTCCACAACAAGGTAAAGGCTAATATCGTCCCTGCATGTACGCGCGGAAAAAAGAATGCTGTCGCGAGTGCTGAGATGCGCTGTGGAGAGTACGCCACAGGTACACCACGCGGGGAGCCGCCGTTGAGAAAAAGAAATTTTTTAAACACACAAAAGCTGATTCACACTTGAGAAAAGACAAAAGAGAAGTGGTACTCGTGTCGGCCTGCACCAGCTCCTGAGTGAGTATTGTGAGAGAGATTCTCTTGAGATTCTCTTGTATTGTGTGTGTGTGACTCACACAGCTCCTGCAACAAACACAGGATGTGCCTAGGCCCTCACTCAAGCAGCTCGACTGTGGGCAGAGAGCTGGCAGAACGCGAGCGAGACGTGGGATGTTTGGGGCCGTGTCGTGTCGAGTCGACTACGCGCCCGCTCGGCGAGCCTCTGCACACCGCCATCGCAGCGTGTTGAAAAGGCGTTCTTGTCGCCACCGCGGTGGTGGTCGAGCGCGTCGCGCACACGATAAAACGTGCGTATGTGATGGTGGTGAGCTCGGTCGAAGGCGGTGGGCCAAAAACGCGAGTAGGTACGGCCGCGCGGGGCCACGGCGAGCTTTTTAGGTGTGGGAGCTCCACAAACCAGGTTCAATGACATGTGTTGTCGTGGTCCTCTCCGATCCTAGGCAGGTGCCCGAGGTGCCACATATCAAGTTGCCTCATCCACGCAGGCGTGCGTGAAAATGAGCGAGGCTCGATGTGCCACGAAGGTCCTCACTCAAGAGGTCCTCACGAGAGGTCCTCAAGCGGGCGTGAGGTCTTCACAAGAGAGGTCCTCACGCGGCCTACCTCCCGTCGTCTTGAAAGCAGCCACATGCAACTAAACACAGCTGAGGCTGCGATGGATACCCATCACTGAGCCGACGATGCTATGGGTAGCCCCAGGGTGGCGCCCACCCCCATACCCTCAGGCACTTGCCTGCGCCCTGGCTTCGCATGCCGCGCACGCACGCCCGCGCACACCGCGCACACCGCGCACGCGCGCGCACGCCGCACTACGCGGCACTGCCCAGGTTCCCTCACGCTCAGATTCCCTCACGCTCAGATTCCCTCACGCTCAGATTCCGTGCAAGGGGGTGCCGAGGTATGCCGCAGGCCGGGATGGAGTGAGATCTTGCGGGGCAGGGCGTGGGCTAGCGCGTGAGGGCGCAGGCAAGTGCCCGAGGGTATGGGGGTGGGCGCCACCCTGGGGCTACCCGTAGCATTGTCGGCTCAGTGATGGGTATCCGAAGTGGCAGCCCTAGGCCGGCGAACGCACCGTGATCTCGACCCACGCGCCGGAGCGCGCGTGGTGCTTGAGCAGCCAGGCGGTCGCAGCCACCTCGATTTCACCCCTTTGGAGGTTGTTTCTTTTTTCCGACGTGCGGCTGCTGCTGTTCGAGTCGTTCGGTGGGTTTGGGAAGGGGGTCGGCGAGATCCTCTGGGACGCAGCGAACGTGCTGCAGAACAAACTGACGCGGGCCCAGTACCTCGATGAGGTGACTTGGACCACAAAGAGCTGGCTGGGGCTGCAGAAGCAGCGCATCTCAGTCGTTCTTCACACGGCCATCGCAGAGCAGATTGTGAATGAGCTTGCCTGTGGCGAGGGCGGTCGAGTGCACGGAGCTAAGTGCCTCGCCGTCCTCGCGGGAGTCGCTTAGGCGGCTCCAGTGGTGTACCTGTGTTAGTGCCAGTGCGCGCCAGTCCCGTGCCCAGTGTTGTGCGAGGGAGTTCGATTGATTGATTGATGGGAAGGCGAAACACAGTCCGACCAACGACTGGGACACCAACGCGGTATGGGTGGACGCTAGACGGGCGATGACGGTCACACAGGAGCGACACACAGAACCACAAGACAAGACACTCAGCGGAGTTAAAGAAAGAAAGAAAGAAAACAGACAACCCAAGGGAGGGATGGGAGGACGGCACGCCGCCACCACACAGGGATTTTAAGGAGAGGGGTGTGGTGCGCTAGCCGTCGCCCACCCTTGGGCGTTCGCTTGTAAAATTCTCGTTTCAAAATTCTTTTTTCCCGACAAACAGCTGCCGCTGGCATCCGCCGTGGACTAACAAAAATGCGATCCGGAGCGGCCGCACATTCACGTCGAACGTGGCAGCAGAGTGCTGCACCGGCGTGCAGCGGACGCTGCGGCGCTGCGGCGCCGCCTCCCCGCCCTGTCCACGGAGCAGGCGAGCGGCGGCACGGCCTTCCACCAGCTGCAGGAGGTGCGCACTTCCCAAAGGAAGCACCAGATGCACCTTCAGCACCCGCAGCTTTGCGCAGCGCAGCGCACGGGCCACGCCACGCAAAGCCGACCCTCAGTCTGCTCAAGAGGCGCTGTCTGTGGAAGGCCTGGCAAGCGCGTACTCGCCTCCTCCGCGGCCATGCCCTCCGCACGGGCGAGCGAGCAGCGGTGGGGCGACACCACCAGGTATGGATTCGCTTTTTTTTTGAGCTTAGCCTTCGATGTTATGAAACAACGCAAGGCGGACACCCCTGGCATATCGCTCTCGGGCCCACATCGAGGGTATGGTGTGTGTGTGTGTGTGTACTCACTCACCGAGGGTATGGGGGTGGGCGCCACCCTGGGGCTACCCGTAGCATTGTCGGCTCAGTGATGGGTATCCGAGGTGGCA